CCGCCGCCGCCGCCGCCTCAGAAAATGTCCGGGCACAGGCTCCAGTCCTGCTTCTCCTTGCTCTCCCAGTAGCCGCCCTTGTAGATGTGCGTCAGCTCCTGCGTCACCGGGTCCTTCTTGCGCTCGAACCACAGCGGCTTGTAGGGGTCGCAGGGGGTGCCTGGGGGCAAAGGGGGGCGGTGAGGGGCCGCGGGGGGCGGTGAGGGGCCGCGGCGGGGCCGCTCTTACCGTCCTCGGAGGCGCGCGCGGCCTCGGCCTCGCGCCGCTTGCGGGAGAGCCGCTGCTTCTCCTCGAGCCGCTGCTTCTCGGCGTTGGCCTCGTCCCAGCGGCCGTTCTCCATGAGGCGCTGGTCGGGGCGCCAGCGGCTGTCCGTGGGCGCCGTGCCGCCCTCGGGCGCGTTCAGCGTCAGCGCCAGCTCCGAGAAGTAGTACATGTTCTCCGCGTACTTCCTGCGCCGGGAGCGCGCGCGCTCAGCCCAGGGAGCGACGAGCGGCGGCCCGGCCCCCCGGCGCGGCCCCGGGGCCCGTGGGCAGCCCGCCGCGCGCCCCACTCACGGCAGCGGGTTCCTCTTCCACAGCAGCACGCGGCTCTCGTCCGCCTCGTGGGCCCTCTGCCGCCCCTCGGCGCTGCTGTCGCCCGTGCCCGCCGTCACCTTGTAGCAGTCCATCTTCTCGTCCCAGGTGCCCAGCAGGAAGAAGTGCACCTTGCCAGCGGGGTCGGCCACCTCGCCGGTGACCTGCGGGGCAGGGGACATGGGGGACGTGCCCCGGCGGGGGGCAAATAGYCCGAGAAGCCCAAACCTCCTCCCCCCGGGAACCCGGAGCAGAACCATTCCCGTGGGACACGGCCCCAGGCCGCCCCTACCTTCCTCGCCACGTCCCGGGAGAAGTAGCTGTAAGGGACAAACTTGAGCACGCACTTGTCGCCCGTCTTGTGGTTGACGATCTCAATTTCACCCGACTGCGGAGGGGAAGAGGAGGGCAGCGCCGGGCCGTGGCCTCTCCCGCTCCAGGGACCCRCGGGACACCGTGGGACGCGGTGCAGAGCCCCGCTCCCTGCTGCTGGCGGCCTCTCCTACCTGGTCTATCCAGAGCTTGCCCACGATGATGTTGTGCACGGTGGTGGTGACTTTTTTCCACGTGTAGTGATTGCCGGAGGAGTGGAAGACGCAGTGGATGGTGCCTGCGGGGAGGAGGGCTCTGCTGGGAATGCTCCCGTGCTGGGAACAGTCCCCTTGAGTGTGCGTGGCCCAGCCAAGGGCAAACTCCATGGTGCAGAACGAGGCAGCAGGTCACGGCCAGCCCCACAACCGCTTCCCTGGGGGYTACCCCAGCCAGCACCTCCTAATCGTGCCGCGGAGCGCAGCGCTCAGGCTCGGCCCGGCCCTGCTCCCAGTTAGGGCTCCGAGCCCTCCGCGCTCACCCAGCGGCATGATGGAGAGGTATTTGCCCCGGAACTTGCTGGTGATCTTAATCTCCTGGCGAAGCGTCCAGCCGTTCCTGGAGTCCACGTGGTGGGCGGCCGCCGGCGGGTGGTGGCACACCTGGCGGGGMCGGGGCCGCGTGAGCGCCGCTGGCCCCGGTGCCGCGGGCGCGCGCGCGGGCCGGGCGGCACCTGCTCGCAGAGGGAGCGGTAGCCGCTCTCCTCCAGGCGGTCCAGCTCGAAGGTCTCCCCCAGGAGCGGGTTGAAGGGCTTGCTGGTGCGGAAGACGGTGGTGGAGTAGGAGGAGACGGTGAAGGCGGCCACGTAGCAGAGCTGCTCCAGGGAGCTCTCGCACTTGGCCGCCCGGTCGAGCAGCTCGTAGTACTCGAGGTCCTCGGTGAGGCGCTGCAGCATGGACAGGGGCTCGTTGAAGTTCACCTGGGGAGGGGGCGGCACGTGAGGGGGCTGCGGCGCCGGGGCTCCCCGCTCCGGCGCCGCCGCCGCCTCACCGGCATGGGGATCTTGGAGAGCTCCTTCCCGATGCAGTTCTTCATGATGCTCCACAGGTTGAGGCTGTAGTTGGGTTTGTAGGGGATGCGCGTCCTCTTCTCCTTCTTGGTGTCCTCCAGCTGGTGCTTGTACTGGGGGGCAGCGGGCGGAGACAGGGGCTGCTCCAACACCGCTCACGCTCCCCACAGACCCCCCAGCTGCTGTCCCGACCCTCCCTCGGGACCACCACGAGCCGGCCCAGCTCCCAGGGCCACCGCTGCGGGGCTGCCCCTCGGCCCCACAACCCACCAGCTCGCGCCCCACGGGCTACCTGCTCGTCCAGGCTGATGTCGCTGCTCGTGCCGCTGATGTTGCTGCCCGTGCGCCTGCAGGGCGGAAAGGAGCCGCGTCGGGGGCTGCTCCCGCCCCGCGCCGCCGCCGCGGCCCCGAGCGCCGGCACCCACTTGTGACCCAGGCTCTCCGGCACCGGGATGATCTCGGGCGCGTCGAAGAACTCGTTGTCGTCGTCCTCGTCGCTCACGTCCCCCTTGGCCGGGCAGCACGGATCTGCGCGAGGGAAGGGGCACGGGCTCTGTCCTTGGGCTCTCCGCGGCCCCACAGCACGGGGTCCCCAAGGGGGGGCCCAGGGGGTCCCTCACGCGCCGCGGCACCCTCCCTGTGCCCTAAAGGGGGGCAGACAAGGCTAGGGGGAGAAGCGCTGAGAGCTGCTTCTCGTGAGGCTCTGCTGCAGGAGGCTGCGGGTGCTTGCTGACACGGGGCCAGAGACCTGACCAACTCATCGCTCAGGGTTACCCACATGAAGCAGCATTAACCTGGCTCGGGGAGCGCTTTGGGGAAGGGCCGGGGCTTATGCACAGGCCGTGCGGCAGCGGCACCTTTGGCGGAGCCGGCGGCGCCGGGCGCGCCGGCGGGCAGCACSGTGGCGCCGCGGAAGGCCCGCTCCAGGTGGTTGTGCTGCTTGGCGAGCTGCTCCAGCGTCTCCTCCAGGCGGATGCGCTGGTCCCGCTCGTGCTGCAGCGACTTCTGCCACTTCTTGCTGTGCGTCTGCGCCAGCAGCAGGAAATCCCGGCAGGCCTGCGGGCACACGATGCCCGAYGGGGGGTGGGCGCCGCGGGGGCCCCCCGCCCGTCCCGGCGGCGCCTTCCCCGCACGGACTCACGTTGATCATGGCGTTGGAGGTGATGCGGAAGAGCGTGGCGCGCTCGTTGACCTGCTTGATCTTGTCGGTGCTGTCGGGCGGCAGGCGCAGGCTCTCGAGCTCGCTGAGCGAGCGCTGCAGCGCCGTGCCGTGCTTGGCGATGAGGTCGTTGCACGTGCTCAGGTCCTCCACTTTGCTCGACAGCGTGCGCAGCGTGCTCTGCAGCTCCGTCTTGTCCGTCTGCGACACGGCCTCGTCGCCGGAGTCATCTGCGCGGGGGCGCCGGGGTCAGCCGGCCCCGTGGGGCACCCCACGGCTGCTGCCAGCCCCACAGCTGCCCCCTGGCCTCCAAAGCCACCCCCAGACCCCAAAGCTGCTGCTGGCCCCCAAAGCCACCGCTGGCTCCAAAGCTGCACTGAGTCCCAAAGCTGCCGCCGGCCCCCACAACTGCCCCCAGACCCCAAAGCCGCTCTGAGACCCCAAAGCTGCCCCCTGGCCCCAAAGCTGCCGCCGGACCCCACAGCTTCCTCCCTGGCCTCCAAATCTGCTGCAGGGCCCCACAGCTGCCCCCAGGACCTCGACGCTGCCCCTAGATCCCAAAGTTGCCCCCAGGACTTCAAAACTGCCCCCTGGTCCCCAAAGCTGCCCCCCTGGCCTCCAAACCTGCTGCCAGACCCCAAAGCTGCCCCCAGACCCCAAAGCTGCTGCCGGCCCCTACAGCTTCCCCCTGGTCCCAAAGCTGCCCCCAGGACCCCAAAGCTTCCCCCCTGGCCCCAAAGCTGCTGCTGGACCCCAAAGCCGCTCCGAGACCCCAAAGCCGCCCCGGGACCCAAAAGCCACTCCCCAACATCGCTCCCGCTGGAACAGCAGGACCCGGCCCCACGGCTATGGGGCACAGGCGCCCCGGCAGCRCCCCGGGGTGCTCCCTACCGGACTCCTCGAGCATCTTGACGGCCTTGGCCTTGGCGAGCTCGAGCGCGGTGACCCAGCGCTGCCGCTCCACCTCGGAGCTCGCCTTGAGGTGGTAGGTCTGGGCGCCGCCGTTGGAGATGACGAAGTTGCACGAGTCCTCCACGCTGATGTTGGCCGTGGCCAGGTTGATGGTGCCGCGGCACGTGTGCCGCATCTCCGCCTTGGAGCTGCCGCGGGGACGGGGGGCG